ACTGAATACCCTGTTTCATCTCAGCTGGGTTATTCATGGCCGCTACCACAGTTCAGGAGCGCCGTGTTCCAGCACAGTCAAAGAGCAGAGTCCTTGATCCCAAATCATGACCCCTGTCAAAGAACCACCTCCTTCATCCCTGGTGACAGTCTGCCAGACCAAAGGGAGTGTTACTACAAACCGATGTCTCTCGCCATTTGGATAATGAAAATAAAGAACTGTGACACATCAGAGTATGTTTCAAATACATTTTCTATTGGAACATTTTGTTCCCGTCCATCCTTTATCTCCAAAATGGCAATTTTCCTGTGACTAAGACAAAAGAGGCTTGTTTAAACCTTCATCACTGCACACGTCTGGGTTCATCCAGAGGGGGTTTTGAAAGGGATTCATAAGAGCAAAGATGGTCTAATCTTCTTAGCCCATAAGGAGTGTGTAATCCTTAAAACATGACAATGACCAATATTGAGGTTATGAGATTTTAGCAGGATAACATTTTTTTTCCGCATGTGCTCTTTCTTTCAGAATGATACATAGGCACTCCTTTTTAATCTTTAAAACATTAATAAGCTACTTTGTGGGGTCCTTTGAGGATTGTCCTGTGCAATTCCACCAGTGTTAGAGTAACAGAGTGAAGGCGAGAGGGAATATGACCTGCTTGTTGAAAGTATTTAGTCCCAAGATTGCAGAGGATCTAAGTAAAGGAGCCAATCAGAAAATCGTGTCTAATGCCCTCAGAGTGGGGACTTAAAGTCTTTTAGTCTATTATCGAGTCTCATTTTCAGCAAATAAGTGAGTGGGGAGAGATTTTTACACCTGTGTTCAATGCAAATAATGCTTCGAAAAAGTAGTTTTCTTGATTTCTTCACAGTAAACTGGTTTATTCTGCTTTGCTTTGAAGGTCCAGTGTGTAAGATTTAGTGGCATCTAGTGGTGAGGACTGCAGATTGCAATAAGATGAAACGTCCCCCAGTTCGAATTCCTTCTGTGTTCATTGTTCGGGAGGTTTTTACCAGGAGCTCGATTATCCACAGAGGTCTCTTCCTCTCAGAAAAACCAGCGTACCAGGTGATTAAAACCAGTAAAAACACAGAATAAAGCAGTTTCATGTTACAAATAAGTATTCTTTCCGATACCGTTTGGCTCGTCACAGATGGGCTGCTTGCTCAGGTAGCTAAGATGTTCATGATGTTTCTACCAAGAGCCAAATTATTCTCAAATGTCTCCTCCTCTCCACAATAAACAAATCTGGTGATTTAAACCGTTAAAATTAGAATCAGAATCCAAAATACTTTATTGATCCCCGAGGGGAAATTGTGATTCGTTACAGTAGCTTAGATGTAAGGAATAGAGAATTATATGAAGTAAGAATAAGAGTGTGAAATAGAAGTATGTAAATATAAAGCAATAAAATAAAAATAGAGATAGAAATGAAAAAGTACATAACAAAAACAGAATGTGCATTATACTATAGTTTTTAACACTAGTATTTAAGATATAAAAATATTTAAAAAATAATATATATTGTTTAACTACAATATATGCATCAATAGAATGAACAAGAATAGAATAAGTAAACATAAGAAATATGTACAGTTATGTGCATGATAAAGTCGTATATTGGAAAATATTGCACAGTTGAATATTCACCCCGTAGATAATTATGAATTATAAATTCAGAAGGTGAAAACAGTCCAGATGCCAGTCTGTTGAGTCAGAGCGGCTGACACTTTTGAGTGTGGAGTTGTACAGGTGTATGGCCACAGGCAGAAATTACTTCCTGTGGCGCTCTGTGGTGCATCTTGGGGGAATGAGTCTGTCACCGCAAAACCACAGATTAAAACAGTTTCACGTTACAAATCAGTGCTTTTTTCTGACACTCTCATTGTGGAGGGGCTGCCAACTATGGTGGTCGACGTGAAAGTGTGAATAGCCCGAACTAGAGCCAGTGAATAGTTTGTCCGTTGTGGGCTGATGTAGAAACATGGCAGTGCAACATGGTGATCTCCGTGGACCAGGAGCCGCTACCTATGTAGATATAAACAGCTCATTCTAAGGTCACTAAAACACATAGATTTTTATCTTTAGGTATTTATACACTAAGAAAATATACTTAGTATATTATATTCTACCAATATATCCCCCTAAATCCTAGACACTGGAGTAATGTCAAGAAAATTTTCAATGGGAGATTTTTTTTTTTTGAGGACTGAATATAAGCCCTAAAAGAAGTGATATATAAATTATAATTTTGTTTAGGATCATCATAATAATATGGTAGCCATGAGGCTGTTGTGTCTGCACTGCTGTCCTTGTTTGAAAAACAATCATAAACAGCAAAATCACTCAGAAACTGACAGTTAATGACAGAAGAGACTTTTATTCAATCTAAGTCAGCTCATTAGTGTCTTAATCAAATGTTTCTTCTCTGTAAAATTTGATCTGTGCACTGAAATAATATGAAATTGCTTAATTGACGTATTGCATGTAAAGAGACAGCAAGTTGCTGTGCTGTGCCAGCTCTGTAATCATTTTCTTTCCGTCTCTCATCTCTATCACGCTCTCTCTCACACACACATACACACAAATACAGACAGACACGCAGGAGCGCACGTGGATGCACACCCACACACACAGCCATCTTAATGATGACTCACATCCGTCTGTGAAAACAGGAAGTTATTACCTGTGTTCCTATCACTGTCTGAGGTCATCAACAACTATGCTTTCCTATTGTTCCTAATAGCAGAGCCAGAGATTTTGAAGCGGAGTCATACCATCTTAAATTCAAACCTTTGGACTTTTATGCTTTTATTTTTAACTCCTAACAACTGTGATGTCATTTTCATCCAGGCCTCGGCTGAATTATCAGTCATTTAAACGATAACAGCTGATGGTAGGCACTTGTCAAACCAAATCTAACCGCAACCATTATGCGGAAGAAAAATTGCAGAGAAACAAACTGCATTTTTTCCAGTAGGCACTGATCAAACCCCCTCTGACAAATGTCACCTCCGCTGCTCTCTCTCTGCCTGATCCTTACTGAGTCCCAGTCCCCTCTGAAGCTCCAGCACTCTGATCATCAGCCCACACAAGACACTGGCACTACCTCCACACATCTCTACAAAGGTACAACAGAACAGAGAGGAAAACGACTGCCTGCCCGCAAGTACTGCACCTCCACTGGAGGTGAGGGAGGGGAAAGAGAAAGATGAGGTGGAGGAGAGAGAGAGCGAGGGGTGAACAATGTAAGTGCTTTTACCCAATCACCAACCAGATCCCAGTTAAGACCTCTCTTTCTGCTGAAGAAGTCTTTTGTGGAATCATGACAAAGCTGCAGAAGCAAGCCTTTGTCTGAAAACAAAGAGGAGTGTGTTTGTGTGCATGAGAGAGCCTGCCATTGTAGTTGTGTGCGTCTGTGTGTGTGTGTGTGTGTGTGTGTGTGTGTGTGTGCGCGTGTGAACCCAAGTGTGCGCACACCCGAGAGCAAGATAGCATGTGTTAGCTTGAGAAATTGCTTCTCTGAGTGTGAGGAAAGTGTGTAACAGATGCAAGCGTTGTGTGCAAGTGTGTGTTTGACAGAGTGTGTGTGTGTGTGTGATTGTCTCCTTTATTTCCTTTGTGCCGAAGATTGGGTTGTGTGTGTGTGTGTGTGTGGGGGGGGTGGAGAGATGGCCTCTGCTCATCTGTAAGATCCTCGAATGATCTCACGTGTGAACGTTCACGTGTGCCAAATGTGAAACACACGCACATAGCCAGAATATGTCACTCTGACATTACCCCCACCTTGCCACCCCTGTCAACGGTCAGCATCTCAAGAAAAACAGGGAGCGAGACATCAAAGAGACTGGCGTCACTGCCTATATGAAGACACACTCAGACAGAGGAATCAGCCTTGCTGATATAGTCGGTTTGCTAATGGGAATCCTACCCAGCAGATGTGTCCTGTTGGAGGAACACACTGGAGTGTGAAACAAGCTTATGTACACATACAGGTAGTGAACCGGTAGCCATGGTCTATGCAACCACCAGGGGATACTGTGGGTGTGACAGTGAGTATGTGTGTATGTGAAAGACTGGGTGGACCTGTGAGTCAAAGAGTCTCAGATGAGAACATGACATTAAAATGATTTAAAGGAAACCATCCAGACACAGTTGAGCATGCAGGACTGAAGCTAATTGCAATCATAGATACTTCAATGTACTGTATGGGCATGTGTGCTGCTGGTTTTCAGCCTGAAGGAAACAAATCAAATTGTGCAAACAGAAGCAATAAGACTGCAACTCCTTTTCCATGCCATTAAAAGACATACAGCACAGTTTTATGGTAATATATTCCGCATTAGGGCCCGTAAGAAATCGGAATAATGCTTTGCAAAACAGAGGGCATGATGAGGAGGAAGAAGAGGAGAGACGAGCTAAGAAGGTGTGTGTGAAAAGTGCAAATAATTGCGGGGAAGGAAAAGAGAGGTGAGGACATTGGAAAAAGAGGAGGAGAGGTGAGAAAGCGATACAAGACAAGATGAGTGTCAGGAGAGCAATGCTGTGATGCTTAATGAGGAAACAAAGGTACCAGAGTTAAACCAGGGACAGCAATAAGTGGGACAGATGGATGGCTTCTGAATATATAAACAGCCTCCGTCTGGAAGCCAGACTCCCTAAACTGCTTGAACTCAATCTGAATTGCCCCTGAACTGCACCCGCAATATGCCCGCCAGTATTAGTTGCTGCTCCCTCTTTTTGCAGCCTCTATATTTAGCTCCTCTCCTCCCAGAGACATTAAATATTAAAAACACATTTAATAAAAACAATAAAAAAAAAAAGAAAACAAAAAACAGTTGTTTAGATGGTGCTGTGCTCTGCATGAACCATAGATTGTACACAGTCTATGAACCCATGCATGGATGGCTCCATGTTATTCTGCTTCAGCAGCCTACCAGAAAGTTCCCGAGTGCGCATGCGTGGCTAGAGCGCGCTGCCGCAGACAGGGGGCGTCAACATGGCGTTCTCTCCTCGACGACCGCACTGACTGCAACCTGCCAATGAGAGAGAGACAGAGAGAGGGGAGAGAAAGAAGCGTAGGCTACCATTCTGTCAAACCTCCATCCCTTTTTTTCCCAGCCCTATGAATCCCTACACATTTTCAGGAGGATAGGGTGAATTCAGAGGGTTTCCCAAACGCCGCTCTCCCTTGTTTTTCCTGCGCAGTGGATGGTTTTTGTGCAGCAGCAGACGCTCGAGCTTGTAGAGCAGGTGTGAGAGACAGCGGCGACCGCTCCTCTCCTCCCTGTTTCCAAGGGGAAATGTCGAGCGAGAAGCCGGTTTCAGCACCACCGGGCTCTGCTTCTTCGCTCACGGACACAGACCGAGACTCCCATCCTCCGCCGGGCTCCTCCGTGCAGCAGCAGCCGCCGCAGCAGCAGCAGCAGGTCGCCGCGGGCGCTGGCTCCGGCGCCACCGGGGAAAGGATGGTGTCTTCAGCCGGCTCTATGGTCCTCCCGGCCGGGGTGATCAACCCCGCTGTCCCGATCAGGAATATCCAGATGAAATTCGCCGTGCTGGTGGGCCTGATCCAGGTCGGGGAGGTTAGCAACAGGGACATCGTGGAGACGGTGCTGAACCTGGTGAGTGGAAACAGCATCAGACTGTTAGAAAACACAGAAAGGCAGCCATAGAGCACAGCACAATCACTGTGTCCTAGCCCGCTATGTTTTATTTACGATGCCTCACTCCCATGGTTGTGTGGCTTTTGGGGGATGATGTCATTTGTTTGCTCGGAGGATGGATGTGGGGTTTTGCTTTTCTGCAGATAACAAGGAGCAGAGCCTACATGGGGCTGTTGTGTTGCAGGGATAAATAGGCTGAGGCTGTATTATTGTAAAGCCTGGAGGAGCTGAATGAAGCATGTGACCCCAACAAGGCATGGAGGGTAGTCAAATCACCAGCCATTGTTGACTAAATGACCCGTTTGCGGTGCACCGAGGAAAACACATTTGCAGTCAAACTGTAGTGGAGAGGGTGAGTGTATGCAGGCTATTCTCCTGACCCCGATATGTACCCTGAAGTGATGCATAGGCAGCTTGTAGCAAACGGCGACTGGTGACAATGTTGCGCACAACACCGAAACCCAAACGGAATTATTTGGTTTTCCTAAAGAGCGAAATCCTGCAGGAATGCACGTCTGTCGAGCACTGAACCCAAATCAATCCAGCACGGACAAAGGCCGACTAGCATTATGCTATCCATCGACATATATGTGTGTGTATGAGAATGGCTCAAAATTATGCATAGGCCTATTGTTGGAGGCAGGGCCCTGCACCCTGTGCGCAAAGGAGTGATGTATAGGTAGCTGTGGAACGGTCAGTGCTTTATATTGCTGTGCTTCCAACTGCGATCATTTTATTTATGGATCAGATATACGTTGCCACCCCCCCTTTCCCATCTTTACCCCTCCATCGGAGGTTGTATCAGCGATGCTGGGCCTACCCCACACATGAGAGGATTTAATCCAGCTGGGGCTTTTGACATGACTGGTGTTTCCCGTTACGAAACAGATGAGCAAAATGTACAGCAGACGTTGGTCTGGGAGACTAATGCGTTAGGAGGATATAGGACGTGTGTGTGTTGGATGCTGCCAGGCTATTTTCCCTCCTCCATGCATCAGGCGATGGCGTGTACTGCATGATATTACATATCTGCCATGAAGAGGGGGGCTCTGATCATTATTCATTCTCTTTTGAGGAAGAAGTAGAATAATGTAGACATAATTTATAACCTGATTCCAGTGCAGTGTTTTCTGCTGGTTGACTATTTCAGGGGTTTTCGTGTAGCCAGTGGCCTATTTACTCTGTGGATGCTTGGAGCAGGACAGCCTACAGCTGGGCTAAACCATTTTTCTCTCAGTCGGACTAGTGAGCCGTCCGGATTCAGGTCGCCTCTCATCTCCCAATCGATTATTGGTACTACACAGAGGAGCAGGGGGGCTTTGCTGGCTCACTCCGACCTTGTCTCCTTCCCATACAACCCCCCCTGGCTGCACAGGCTGATAACCATCCATCCTGTTCCACGGCCTCCTCCTTCACTCTGGAGGGGCTGAGAGGAGAGATGCTGCCTGCATAGATTGGCCTGGCAGGGCAGCGCCATGCATTTAAAAGCAGGTGGAGAGGAGGAGGAGGAGGAGGAGGAGGAGAGGGGGTTGAGGGAGGGTGGGGGAGGAGAAGAGAGAGAGTGGAGGAGGATGAGGTGGTAGGATGCTGCAGTGGCTATGTGCTCAGAAATCACCAGCTGATGCAGCGGAAGAGGAAAGGACTCTGGATTGGTCCACATCAGATCAGTGAAAGCTCATCAGAGCGTTCAGCTGAAATGTACCCCGTTTTGCATAAATACCTGCATTTAGGCACACACTTTATTTTGTGGATGTTGGTCAGATGCATTAACACACAAAGGCCCAACACCCTGACAAATTCAAGCACTATGTGTTATCCATACAGAGCTTTACTTGCTAAATCCTGAATTGAACAATCAGTTGTGGTTGCGAGGCTGCCAATAGCTAAGCCTGTTAGGGAATTCTGTTGCCCAGCTCCTTAATTAAAAGAGTTGAAACAAAGAGGTGTGGAGGCAGGAACCTCAGTGGTCATGCTGCTGGTACAATGAGTCCACTGTGACCCAAAAGCTGATCCATTATTCCAGTCAATGTGGGAGACCACAGCAGCCACATTCACCGTCCACCATGGCTGTATTGATCAGATCCCACTGCAGCTTGGGTGAACAGATGGCTTGTCGGCTGGATCAGATATGCTCCCTCTTCTGTGCGGCGTGGTGCTGGCCTTTCGGCGAGTGATGAACTGTACTGTCTCTGGAAAGAGAGCGAAGAAAAGGAGCGAGAAGACAATAATAATCAACTCGGGCCAGAATGCTGGCTGCACTGCTGCTGATACAGAGGTGAAGCACAGAGCAGTACTGCACATGCAGCCAGTATCATAGGGCACGCTGTGGCTTCAAGCGTAATAATAGTGTTTTTGAATAAAGCAAATGTGCAGATACAGTACATGCAGCGCACACATATAGAAACACTTACATTATGTGTGTGGGCTGCTGGTGGCGAGGTGCTTAGCTATTATCATCAAGGCATCACAGTTGTCAAGGCAACACTGCTCTTTGACTGCCTGCCTCCAGACGCTCGACCACCTGGTGTTGCTTTCCACTTCCGGACTCGCAGTACTCTGCCACAGCGTTTCTATCTCTCACGTTCTCTCTTTGTCTGTTTGTCTCACCATCTTCTATTATGAGTGAATATTATCATGACTTACTACTAAACGGGAGCAACAAACCAAACAGCACTGAATATCTGAAAAGGGTGCACACTAGTTTAGCTGAATTAGTGTGAGATCATCAGTGAATGAGTTTGGTTTATGTACGATCGGTGGTTTAAAGTGACGGACCACCATGAGCCATAACACCTCCAAGTCAGTAGATCTCTACCAGAGGAACAGACACCATTTTCTCACCAAGTTTCCAAAAATATGCCCTGATTTTGTGTGGAAAGCATGTTGTACACGTCACTCTAAAATCTCCCGTGAGTATTCAGCTGTGCAGTTGAGCTCTGGTGGCTATGACGACTGTAGCATATGATTCACACCATTTTCATACTCATCAAATCATTCAGGAAGTCCACAATGGAAGCTTCTGCATTTGTTATGTTCCCCTTTTAATTTCGTCGTTTTTTCCTGTAACTTGTCACCTGTCTGTACATTGAAGTGTGTATGTGAGGCCTTTTGGGCACAGTAGGTGATAAATCTGAGGGGTCAGAAGATGATCAACGAGACAGGGGAGCTGATGAACACTTGTTTCTTCAGATGTCTCTCGTATTTTTGCTTTTTGACTTGAAAATTGCTGAATATTTTGATGTTTTTAGGCCCCTTGAAATTAGCCAGATGAAACAGGGCAATGAAACCTCCTCTTGGTCAAGTTGGTCATAACAAGGGTTGTAGATGTATACCGGGATATGAGCATTGACGATTATCACAACTGTGTAAATTTGCTTATTTAGGGTATTGAAAAAAATGCAACTGGATGGAAAATCTCACAATAATAATGATAATAATGTACCTATATATCGTGATGCTGTGAAACTGTGATCTTTTCTTAGAAGGTTATCGTGTCTTGGGGCATTGGTGGCTTAGTGGTAGAGCAGGCGCCGCATGTACAAGGCTGTTGCTGCAGCGGCCCGGGTTCGACTCCAGTGGCCCTTTGCTGCATGTCACTCCCTCTCTCTCTCCCCCTTTCACACTTGTCTGTCCTATCCATTAAAGGCTAAAAATGCCCCAAAAAATATCTAAGAAAAAAAAAGAAGAAGAAGGTTATCGTGTCTTGAACATCCTGTTACCTTTGCAACCCTTGTCATAACCCATATTCGACTGGTGATGATGGGTCACAAGCAGGGCTGCAACTAATGCTAAGTTTCATTATTGATTAATCTGCCGATTATTTCCGTGATTCATCGATTAGTTGTTCGGTCTAAAAATGTCATCCCAGTTTCCTAAAGTCCAAGGTGATGCCTTCAAATCTTGTTTTTTTAGGCCAGAACCCCAAAATATTCAGTTTAATATGATGTGAAAATGTGAAAAGACGGAAATCTCCATATTTGAGAGGCCAGTTTTTGCAGGAAAGATTTTTTTTTAGCAATTAATTGATTTTCAAAAAAGTTGGCGATTATTTTTCAGTGGATCGACTGACTGATGAGTCGATTAATCATTGCAGCTCTAGCACACATGGGATTGGGCAATATATTGTCACGATATGTCTAGATATCTTAGATTTATGCCAAAGTGTTGTAAATATTACTGTTTAAGAGGAGATGCATGTTTGGAAGTACTGGGCACATGACTGGGTAAATGAAACTTGGACTATTGTGTGAGAGTTTGGGGTCATCTGCGTAGACGGTTGGGGACTACTCTAACACATGGCACTCTACAAGACAGGATACTTTAGTGATGGACCCTTTTACTGGTTGTGTCATCCCTTTAGAAGTCAGCCCTTTCTTTTTGGCTCCCTACACTGGTAGTTCTGTGGAGTGAACCCTCATATTTGGAGTTAATGGTCAGCCACTTCTACCCCAGGCTGTGGTTATTTGCGCTGACATGTTGTGATGCTGGATGTAGGAGGAGGTCAGGTGAGGAGGAATGTTTGTTGACAGAAGGTAGAGGGGTTGGCATGTGATCCATCTGAACTGTACCGTCATATATTTATTTGAGGAATTCAGAGGTATATTTCAAATGCATCTTCAGGCGGCACTGTCAGTCTTGCCTAAGTATGGCACCAGCTGTGCTTATTTATAGACAGCTTTATCTCGTTGTAATGCTTTTTTTGGGATCAAAATGGAGTGTTTGTCTGGCGTGGAAAAAGATTGGTTACACACTCTGGCTCACTCTTGGTCTCCATGCCCGTTTGTTGGCTTTTCTTTCTCTCTTTCACCTTCCTTCCTGCTCGGATGCAATAACTTCTGGCAGTGTCAATCCCCACCTGAGCCCCTTTAGGGGTCCCACTGAGTCTCTTTTAGCAAACGTCTCATTATTCTTGTCCACACACTCCACAATCACCAAGGTCACCTGATCGCAAGTCCACA